AATAAGAGAGAGATGGCGGGTCCGAAGTGAATGACACCCGCTCGGACCAATAGGGCGCGCCGGCGAATCGCTGCTAGGCGGTACCGCACTGAATGAGACCGCAGGGCCCATGGGGCGTGCCCGCGGCTCACGGCGGAATCAGGCCGGGCTGAGTGTGAGCTTGAGGGCCAGTGCGGCGCGCCCGCGCTGAGTGAGACCCGCGCGGGCCAGTGGGGCGTGCCCGTGGTTCGTTGCTGGGCGGGTCGGCGCTAAGCGACGGCCGTGCGGGGCAGTGGGGCGCGCCCGCGGCTGTCGGCGGGGCGGAGCCGCGCTGAATGAGAGCCGCGCGGGCCAATGGGGCTCGCGCCCGGCTCGCGTCTGGCCGGGGCCGCGCTGAGCGACGGCAGCGCGACCCAATAGGGCACGCCCGCGACTCGCGGCGGGGCGTGGCCGCGCTGAATGATAGCAGCGCGGGCCAATGGGGCGCGCCCGCGGCTCGCGGCCGGGCGGGGCCTCTCTGAATGGGAGCTTGAGGGCCAGTGGGGCGCGCCCGCGCCTCACGGCGGGGCGGGTTCGCGCCGAGCGACGGCCGCGCGGGCCAATGGGGCGCGCCGGCGTCCCTCTGCGGGGCGGGGCCGCGCTGACTGACGGCCGCGCTGGCCAACGGGGCGCGAGCGCGCCGCCGCGCCGCCAGCGCCCGCCGCCGCCGCTCTGGTGCCCTGACGCGGGCCGGGCGCCGCGGCGCTGCGGCTGCGGGCGCGGCGACGGCGGCAGCATGGCCGGCGGCGGCTGGTGGCGCTGCGGCCGCTGCTGCTCGGGCTGCTGGCGCGCGGGTGAGGCGCGGCGGGCGGCGGCGACAACAAAGGGCCGGGCGGCGACACGCGGCGGGCGGGGACGGGGCGGTGACAGGCCGGGGGGCGGCGCGAGTCGTTGTCGCCAGAGCGGGCGCGGGCGAGGCCCGGCGACACGGAGGGGACGCGGGCGACAGCGGTGACAGCGGGGGGCGGGGCGGCGGCTGGCGCGGTGGGGCGGGGACGCGCGTGCGACAGGGACGGGACGGGGACGGGGACAGGAGGCGGGACGGGGACAGGGGACGCGGGACACGGGACGGGACAGGGGACGGGACAGGGGACGCGGGACACGGACGGGACAGGGACAGGGACAGGGACAGGGGACAGGGGACGGGGGACAGGGGACGGGGGACAGGGACAGGGGACAGGGACGGGACGGGGACAGGGGACGGGGACAGGGACGGGGACAGGGACAGGGACAGGGACGGGACAGGGACAGGGGCCGGGACACGACGGGACAGGGACGGGACGGGGGACAGGGGACGCGGGACAGGGGACAGGGGACAGGGACGGGACGGGACAGGGGACGGGGACAGGGGACGCGGGACAGGGACAGGGACAGGGGACGGGACACGGGACGGGGACAGGACGGGACGGGACAGGGGACGGGACAGGGGACAGGGACAGGGACGGGGACGGGGGACGGGGACGCGGGACAGGGGACGGGGGACGGGGACGGGGGACGGGGACAGGGGGAACGGGGGACAGGGGAGCGGGACGGGGGACGGAAGGGACGGGGGACAGGGGACGCGGACGGGGAGGGACAGGGGACGGGACAGGGAGCGGACGGGGGACGGGGACAGGGGACGGGGGACGGGGACGCGGGACGGGGGACGGGGACAGGGGACGGGGACGGGACGGGGACGGGGACGGGGGACGGGGGACGGGGGACGCGGGACGGGACGCGGGACAGGGGACGGGGATGGGACGGGACGGGGGACGGGACGGGGGACGGGAGCGCGGGACGCGGGACGGGGAACGGGGACGGGGAAGGGGACGGGGACGGGGAGCGGGACGCGGACGGGGACGCGGGACGGGGGACGCGGACGGGGACGGGGGACGGGGACGCGGGACGGGGGAAGGGGGACGGGGGACAGGGGACGGGGGACGGGGGGACCGGGACGGGGCGGGACGGGGACGGGGGACGCGGGACGGGGGACGCGGACGGGGGAGGGGACGGGGACGCGGGACGGGGGACAGGGACCGGACGGGGGACGGGGGGACGGGACGGGGAGCGGGACGGGCGGGGGAGGGGGACCGGACGGGACGCGGGACAGCGGACGGGGGACGGGGGACGGGACAGGGGACGCGGACAGGGGACAGGGGACAGGGGACCCGCGGGACAGGGGACGGGGACAGGGACGCGGGAGGGGGGACGGGGGAAAGGGGACGGGACCTGACGGGGACGCCGGGCGCGCCCCATTGGCCAGCGCAACTCTCATTCATCGTGGCCCCACCCAAAGGGGAACTACTCGCGCGCCCCATTGGCCCCCGCGGCTCTTACTCAGCACAGCCCCGCCCAACCACGGGCGCGCCCTATTGGCTCCCGCGGCCGTCACTCAGCGCTGCCTCGCCCAGCCACGAGCCAGGGGCGCGTCCCATTGGCCCGTGTGGCCGTCGTTCACCGCCGTCCCGCCCAGCCGGGAGCCGCAGGCGGGGGCCGCCTCAGAGCGCGACCCGGCTTCCCGCCTCAAGTGCCGTCAGAGGGGACCGGCGACAGCGCGGGGGTGACCGGCGGGGACAACATTGCGGTGACAGTATGTGGGTGACCGGCAATGACATGCAGGTGACAGCGATGACATCATTGGGGTGACAGCGTGGGGGTGACAGCGATGACATCATGCAGGTGACAGCGATGACATTGGGGTGACAGCGTGGGGGTGACAGCGATGACATC